CAGGAGGGAGGGAGGGAGGGGGAGAATTACCATTTGACTTCTCCGATGTGTTCACTTCTGCTTGAGTAGAACAGAGGTGTGGCCAGGTGACACTCTTTCTCGCCCTTCTTAATTGACTGATCCTGCTGGCTTCAGCCTCGCCCCTCCATCTCATGGTCTCATGTGGTGTCCTATAAAATAAGTGGGCAAAAACCCAAATAACATTCCCTGCAGACAACTAAATAGGAGTTAAGAAACATGACACTGAATAGTTAGATTTCAAATGTGCCTAGAGGCTTTTTATGAGGAGAGAGACCTTCCCACTTCATCCATTCCCATGCCGTGGGCTGGATTTTTCTCTCTTCTTTTATAGACATATAATGACAGAAAACGCCATTAAGCAAATTAAGATCTTGTCTTACTACTCAGCATTCCTCTGTTTTTTACTTTGGATTTTTTTATATTGCTTATTCCTAAATCTCATTAAACCTGTCTCACCTGAAAAGCTTATGATGTATTTTAGGGTCTCTAATCTTTACAACCAAAAGTATCAGCACCAACGAATTGTATTTTTTCTCTCTTCTCACTCATTCTCCATCATCCTTGCCTGCATCAATATTTACTTTGCTTCAAAAAAGTACTTTTATTCCTAAAGTGTTATTTTGCAGCTGGTTTTAAATGGTTAGAACAAATGTCATACTCCAACTAATTTACAACTTGGGAGATGTGAGAGCAACACATCCAAAGCACAGCACCCTAACCTTAGCTGTCTCATAAGGCCATTGGCAGGTGTTCTGGCGGGGAAAGCAGCCGTGGGGTGGAGCTCGGAGGGGCCAGTGCCTCTGGGCACCACAGGATGAGTCACCTACAGCCCCGTACACAAGAAAGCAGTCCCGAGGAAACTTGTTTCTAAGTTAACACTGTGTCTTTACAGTTTTCTGCAACCCTCTCTTTGCACACGGAGGGGAGGAATAGCACCAGGGTCCATCACAAACTGTATTCCACATGGTCTCACTTGCCATCTTTTCCAAGAGCTGCTAATGAGCAGTTTCTTATCTGGGGCGGGTTATACACACAGCTGCCCAGGCTGGGGGCCAGGGAAGAGTTGACCCGACTTCCCATAAAATCAACTCAGCTTTTAAAGGTCACAAGAAGAGAAAAGGGCGTGCACATTTCTGTGCTCATGCGGAATTGTGATCATGGCTCGTACTCCCATGTTAACACGGATAAGTGTCACGGAACAGAGCCTGCTCTGTGACTCGGGCCTTCACTTGTCAAGTGAATGCAGCCTCACCAACTCCAGACGATCTTCTATTTGGATTTTATGGTGCTTACTGTGTGATAAAGTAATACATTTCCCCTCCTCATTCAGGATTATATTCAAATATTTATATAAATTTCCTCACTATATTTTAATAGAATTTGACAGCAATATAAAGTCTTACTGTACAAATTCCTATTTCTAAAATTGTATTGTCAGAAATATATATTATATCATATATATTTACTTTTATTAAATGTTTTAGATAAGTGTGTGTGATCTTTTAAAGAAATCTTGTTTGTGAAATATACAAGAATCAAAGGCCCGAGAGCACTCTAACACGTCATTAGTTTGGCCTCTCACTGCTGCCCTCACTTGTAGATTAGAGGACTCAGAAGAGATGAATCCTGAGATCCGGCTTCTAACTCCAGCCACCAATTGAGTAACCAACTGAAGGCCGAAGTTCTGCCCGGCCCAGGCGCTCCTCCTCCACGGGAAATCAAATCTCCACTTGGCAGTGAGAGAAGCAAGAGGGCTCCAAGCACCTTACCAGAGGCCACAACACACAAACAGCACAGCTTCTGTAAAGATCTGATTTGCAAAACCTCATTCTGCCTCCAAAAGCCCACAGGCCCAAGCCCAGAGAAAGTTCACTTTAAAAGCATTCGCCTGCTTCATATAAGTGAGACCAAAGGGGATATTCCTTAAGACAAAAATGAAGACAGCCTACCTAGATACAACCCGGCATTTCAGCAATATGAACCCAAAGATGAAGTCTGCGATGCATGCCTCCTATTCGATATAAGGGAGGCTTTTTGCTCTAAATGAAAAATTCATTTTCTTTTAGCCTTTGATTTCCTTTTATATACGAGGGTGATCAGAGTATAGCCATTACTATAATACTAAATCAGGTTTACTGAATGGCTGCTTTATTCCATCTACAAAGCAATATTTTGTCTCCTTAATGTATCAGTCAAACTCAGGTTCTGTGGGAATGGCACTTCAGTAAGAAGGGCTACAATCAAGATTCATAAGGTATGAGTTCCAACTCTGCCTTTCCCAAGAAGTACTGAGTTCTTCTTGACCCTTGATAGTCAATCTATAAGTAAATGCAATCACACTTAGCAAATGCATTAATATTTTAAAATTATTTCCATAACCAAGATGTATTTCATGTCTCATTTAAAAATTGTAGCCAGGCTGGAGAAATAGTTTTTACTGGTATTTTTGTTAAAGTAGAAAGAGGCCTACAGGTTTTAAATAATCTGTTCAAGGTCATCATGACTGGGGAAGAATGGAAATTCAAGTCTAAGTCATTTATTAAGGGTGACTGTTAACATGGAAAGAATTCTATTTCTATTATATAACATTGTCTGCATAAATCATCACCATTTGTTTGACTTCATGGGTTACATATTCTTTCTGAATTACATATTTTAAATAACTTTCCTGTCTATGAGTTAGAACCATCTTCCCACATGTCACCAACTTCATCAGTCCAAGGAGAGAGGGTGTAACCTACTGTGGATAAGATGAAGTCAAAGACATAAAAACAAATAAAACACAAAACATCATGTGCAAAAAAAAAAATCTTACAAATTAGAATGGGCAATCAAACAGTTCTATGGAATTTTAAAGTTTTCACGACACAGAAAAAGGGAGATGCTTAGGTCCCTGTAGTTCAAGGGTAGCAGATGCAAACAGCAGGCAGACAACAGAGCCCTGCGGGCCTGTGGGGACCCAAGGGGTCCAGACTCCCACCCAGAAAGGAGCCAAGAATTCCAGGAACGTGGAATGTCACTGGAAAGCCATGAGTTTTTAAGTCTTAGCGACCAATTTAAAGTGAAACATAGGCAGCATCTTAACGACTCAGTTAAGAAAAGGGCATCTGATGAAAAATCTCAGATGGAGACCCAGGAAGG